CACCTTTTTTTTCCTTGTCCATTTTTATAAGTAAAACTATAATCCAGTTTTTCTTTCCAGATGGAATGTCCGTATCGTTATTGTTAATATTATTATCGCTAGTTTTACATAAAAAAAAAAAAATTATGACAACAGTCGACCCCCACATCCTTCCATCTCAGATATCTCAAATTCAAATACAAGACTTAAAAAAAAATTGAAAGCAAGGCTAATGTATAAGATTCCAGAAGATACTAATAATTCCACATCCCCAAAAATTAACGAGTGCCCAATTCCATCGTTTTGTGTCTTATGTTTGCCCAAAAATTCACGAGCGCCTGATTCCATTGCGTCTTGCTTGACAATGATCTACCTTCTGAGAGGAGTAGACATCAGCCTTGTTGGAGATCTGCTTGGGCTCCTGCTTGGACGGTTGGAAGGGGTCCTGGGGGTCCACGGGCTTGCTGGGCATGGTCATATAGAGGTCAGAGCGCTTGTGTTTGCCCGGGGTCACCTCGGGGATCTCAGTGGTCTCGGAGATCATCACGGAGGATTCCAACACCAGGGTTTGGCTGTGGGTGGGGAGGGGGTGGGATGGCGGAAGATATACCAGTTTAGAACTCTGGAGGTGTGGATTTGTGGATTTTTAGGTTTGTAGTATTTTGGATGTGTGGGTTTGTTGGTTTGTTGGTTTGTAGTTTAGTTGATGAGTGGGTTTGTGGATTTGTGGGTTTGTAGGTTTAGCTGTGAAGTTGGGGAGGGTGAGTGATTGTAAAAGATATAGGAGTTTTGTGGAGGAAGGGGGGGTTAACTGTGGGTTTGTTTGTTTGGCTGGAAAGGGGGAGGGGGCGGGTTGTAGAAGATTGTAGTTATAGGGGTGCTTGGGGCTTAACTGTGGGTTTGTGGGGTTGGCTGTGGGTAGCTATAGAAGATGTAGGAGTTTGTGTGTTTATACCTGTCAGAGTTTTTGTGATTTTATGGGTATGTGGGTTTATGGTATAGAACTATGGGTTTGTGGATTAGTCAGTTTGTGGGTTTGGCTGTTTGGGGAAGGGTGGGTGGGTGGAAAATATGCCAGTTTACAACTCTGGGTTTGTGAGTTTGTGTGTTTGTGGTTTTGTGAGTGTGGATTTATCTGTGAGTGGAACGTTGAAGATACAGGAATATTTGTGGGGTTAAAGGATTACCAGTGGTCATAGGAATTTGGCAGTGGGTGGATTGTTTCAAATCTAACAGTTTGTATGGGGTTAAGAGTGGGTTGCTAAATTCTTGGGTTTGTTTTGGGTTTGTTGTTGGTTTGTTGTGGGTTTGTTGTGGGTTTGTGGGTTTGTCTGTAGCTGGATCGTTGGATACATACCAGTTTGTGTAGGGTTAAGAAATTCAAATTAAGTTTGTGGATTTGTGGATTTGTGGCTTTGAATATAGGCAAAAAGTCACAGTTACTTTAGCTTGTATGGGATTAACAGTATATTTGTAGGTTTGTGGGCTTGGCTTTGGGCAAATTGTTATACCTGTCAGGGTTTTTGTGAGTTTATGGGTATGTGGGTTTGAGGGTTTGTGCATTTGTGTGTACATGTCATGTAAGTGTGTGTGTGTGTGTGTGTGTGTGTGTGTG